GCACGTGATATGACCATTGCTGCAGGGTGGTTTGCAAAAAAATCAACTATATTAAAGTGTTGGAGGAAGGCCTTGATTGTTGCACATGGCGATCTTGAAAAACAGACAACTGTAACAGAGAGGGCTGGAACTGAAGTGGAACGTGAGGTCAGAGAAATGTGGAATTCTATGGTTGTCGCCATGGGAGTTCTGGATGCAGTTAATTGTGAAGATTACCATGAGGCAAATGACAATTTATTGACACCGAGTTAGTTGATGGACCAGGAAATGATTAAAAATGTCCAGGAATTTTCATGCAATGCTAAAATGACATTTGAGAGTGAAGAGGAAGATGAAATTGCTGTCGAGTCAATTAATGAGAAGCTTTCGCTTTCAGATGCTTTAGACAGCCTGTAAAGCGTTCGTACGTATTTGTCCTTTACTACTGATGTCGCAGAAAACATTTTTCAGTAGTATCGAAGATTTCAATGTTAGTGATACTATTAGAATATGTTGAAAATAACGGACTTTTCTGATTAAGGTAAGTTCTGTAATTATTATTTACATTTGTATGACTGTTTTTAAATAAATTCAGTTTATAGTTTTTTCTCTTTATTCAGAATAGCGAAGCTTCAGTATAGCAGACTAATTTGTATAGTCTTCAGAGTTTTGCCATAGTTTATGATATGGATCCTGAAGGGAAAAATCTAACATACGTGCAGTACAACGGAATCAATCGAGTATACTGTCCCAGGTTGCTCCTTTTTGGCTAACGCTGAATACCTCGCATGGCATAATAACCTCACAAAGACACCAACAACGGTTACTTGAAAGAGGCTTAATTCCAGGAATTATGCCGTAGCATCAATACAATCCAGTTATGGCGTTTGAGGCTGGCCAATGCGCTTTTTTTTTCGACCGCCGGCTACTCACAGTCATCCAGACGTGCTAATCCTGATGACAAAAACACAACAGCAATACGATAAGACTACGGTAAGAAAATGCCAAATGTTGCATGTATCAGTTGAAAAGTACGCAAATCACGCCAATGGTCATCTCCGCAAATGGCTTCATTCCAAAGTCCACGTTGCAATTACTTTGGACCATCTAAAAGTCACATAAAAGCTTCTAAAAGGTGTTAGAAAGCTGCTGTTTTGAATATCTTCATGAAAATTAGGAAACAGCAGATTTGCAGCAGGTCGTAGAGAGTCGGCTATGCGTACCTCATAGCTACTGGCGAAATATCATCCCTGTGAGAGAGTATAGACAAATTTGACATTTTACTGCTCGAATGGCATAACTGATGAACGCTTCTTTTCGCATACAAGGGACGTCTGTTACTGTAGGAGAAGAAAACATTTGCTTTACATGGTATTACCGTATGTCGAAGCAAATGTAATCATAGAAAAGTAACACATAACCCCGCTGGCAAGGGCTAGCCACAAAGAATGACAGCATTGTGCCGATTCTGCCAGTGGCAAATATTACCGTTCAGTTTTTAATACCAAATGTGTACGGCAAAACTGTCAAGTGAGTTACTTTACAGCAACAGTGCAGTAATGTACGGCGGAAGGCAGTATTTACACTGGAT